CACACACACACACACACACACACACACACACACACACACACACACACACACACAATGTTCGTTCGCACGTTGCTCCACGTTCCGCTCCCTGACTCCGTCCCGTTTCATCGAGCAGAGATGGCACGGGGGTTATCTTTCCAATATCCTGTGCAGTTGAGGGCTGCTCTAGATCCAGATTCCAAACTCTAGACCCAACCACACAGTTGTATCCCATGCAACAGATTGTTTCTTCTACTGTGAACCTCTTGTTATGCAGCTCGCCCTTCCCTGCAAACGAAGCTGGTTCGTCCTTGGGAACAGGTTGGAATCAGTTGGTACAAAGCCAGTAAAGAGTTGGTGCAATGTCGGTGCAAGCTCGGTCAAGCCTGACATAAATTGGTGCAACTTTGTGAAAATTTGCTGCTGCTGCTGTTGCTGCTGCTGCTGCAGCAAACTTGGTATGAAGCTGGTTCCAATTGGTCTACAAGTTGGTTCAAATTTGGTTCAAATTTGGTTCAAATTTGATATGGGATAGGGGGTCGAAAATTATGTGTGGGTCTATAAACGTTGAGTTTCCAGATTTCCAAGTTCCACCATTGTGACGGACTGCAAATCTTTGATGCGTAGACTCGATAGGGTGCCGTGTGACATTTTTATGTCACACGAAATCTTTCGTGTGACATTTTTTACGTCCTGTTTGTTCGCAAGAGGGCAGGGTGGGAGGTGGGAGGTGGGAGGTGGGAGGTGGGAGGAGGGAGGAAGGAGGAGGGAGGAAACACGAAAAGTGAAAACATGCATATGATCTTGCCACCACCGCCAGCATTTCCCCTCCGCTATACCCTAGCCGCAAATTTTGCGCCGCGTTAACCAGCACGTCGTAACAAGGTACGAGGGGAATGGACCGGTGGCACCGCTACCGTCTTCACCCGAATAGAACGGCTGGTCATTACAGTAGCTTTGTATTTGGCACAACTTTGAGGTCCAGATACGGCGATAATTGTCGCCGGGCGTTCTATTGGGGTCAAGACGGTACACCCCTTTGCCTCCAGCGGGCCTGAACCGCAACCTTGCAGCGCGTTTACTGGCAAGGGAACAAGGTACCAGGGGCAAGTACTGGTGGTTTAAAAAAAGAGCACACAACATAACACAACCGCGTTACTCTGTTGCCAAGTAAAATAAAAATGGTAAGGGGAAAAAGAAAGGGGTCCTGAAGAAGAGAGAGAAAGGACCATACCTATGGCCCGAAATGTCCGCGTATCGGCAGGGAGTTCCTCCAGCTCCTGGCCTGTGATGACGGCCCGCCGCTTCTCTCTCTCCTTGCCCAACAACTGCTGAGAGACCTGTCATCCATATCCACATTTCATATCCCTATTGAGTAGTATTGACCTTATCTATATTCTTTTCCATAACGACCGTATCCGTATCCATAACCAGCCAGAAACATGACAAATTAATAAAAAATTATCCATATCCCCAAACGTTTCATTCACCCTCTAAAGAACACCCAACGTTTGAACGGTATATCTACATTCTCAACAATCCTTGATTTTTACGAACACCCTGATGTCAAGTATTAACCCCCTCCCCCCCCACCACCACCACAGACACACACACACACACAAGTTACGGCCCCCATTATACACCTCAGCAACATATAGAACCCCAAGTTGGCTGTCATCTCTCGGTCAATTTGGGGGGAAATTTCTGGCTAGCAGTGCATCGATCAACGAGCATGAGCGAAGGTGTCCAAAAATTCCAGAATGAGTGCGGATATCTACCACAAGGAGGGCATACTCACACTGGGACTATTTCGACTCATCTCCGGATGTAATTGCGGCCAGATACATACAGGACAGGTCGTAACCGCAGTCAGCTACAGGCAGGAAAGTCTTTGTGAGACTTGACTCGTCCTATGATCGTGTGGGGGTTAGGTTAATCCCTTTCCTGTATGTATCTGGCCGCAATTACATCCTATGATCGTGTGGGGGCCAGACACATCGCTTTCTGTCTGTGCAAAGCCGTGGTGTGGTGTAGGAGACAACACCGATGGAATGGAATGGGGTTCATTCAGGTCAAGAAGGGCAGGGGAGGAGCAAAGGGATCTGAGAGGAGAGGGAGGAAGAGGGATGGTTTTGGTGAGGGAGAAGGAGGATAAGGCAGGGGAGGAATAGTATTACACACACACACACACACACACACACACACACACACACACACACGCGCGCGCGCGCACGCGCACACACGAGGAGAGGGAGGAAGAGGGATGGTTTTGGTGAGGGAGGAGGAGGATAAGCCAGGGGAGGAATAGTATTACACACACACACACACACACACACAACCAACAGCAGAGGTACGATGAGTTCTGAAAAATGTAAAGGAGGAAATGAATCATCTTAAAATGAATAATCTTAAGCTACCTGTTTTAATTTGGCATTAGTTTCAACGAGTCTTCCTTGGAGCTCCACAAAAGCCTGCACAAACACATTTCAAGTTTCAACCCCATAAATTACAGAAGACAGCTTTAAATGAGAAAGAAAAATGAGAAAGAAAGAAAAACAATTCATAGAGCAAACAACACCCCAAGACGCCGGCAATAAAATATCTTCGATGGAGGGAGGTGCAAGGGGACGCAGAGGACAAACAGTCAGAACAGGGCGAGCAAACAGCTGGGAAAACACAGGGGGATATCAAAGAAGTGTGTTTCCGTAAAAACCTTGGGCCAGTACTCAAGAAGCCCTATATCTTTTTCTATTTTCAGTGCAATTCGGTACTCATCGTCTTGGCGGCGATCGCAAGAGCGTTTTCGTTTGGCAGGTGGCAGGCACAACTTCGGCGATCGCATGTGATGCAAGGAGGGGGGGAGGGGAAGAAGGAGTGAGGGAGCCCCAAGTATTGGGAGGGCAGGGGGGAGGAATAAAAAGCCATAAGAGTGGGAGGGTGGGGGTTCATAAACAAGCACCAAGACTTGACAAAAGGTTTAAAGCACGACTAAGTGGACGGACATCCGTGTTATACGAAGGCTGTCCCCGAAATACACCGACGGAAAATGACCCATTACATTTTTTGATCTGACGACGATGGTGTGCAGAGAAACTCAGAAAAATACAGGCTGCTGAAAACAACCCAAAGCCCAACCAAGAGCATTGGACTGGTGGTTTGATGCTCACAAATAGACGTGCACGGCTTCGCCTTTAAGACAAGGATATGACTAAACCACGCACGTCTAAGTGTGAACGCTAAACTACCAGTCCGATGCTCTTGGTTGGACCATGCACGTCTTCGTTGATGTCAACCCAAACCCCAACCAGGTAGCGGGTGTGTCGCGAAGTCCTTAAGGAGGGGATGGCAGGAAGGGCGTAGGGACATCTCGCCGACCACCCTAGCAAAATGATGTTGAAGCATCGAGGGACATGAGACGAGCCAACGAGACGCCGCAACGTCTGACCAATTGGATTGCAGATAGAATTCCCCTACCGAGGCCAGTGCCAACGACAAAAAAAAAAAAAAAAAAAAAGGGTCCCAAGTTCTCTAAACCCTAAACCCTGGAACAAAACTGTACCAGGAGCAACAACCAGACCAGCTTCATGTGTAATCTGTAAACCAGATTGGGTCCGGTAAAGCCATAATGAGGGTGCGTTGTGTTGGTCCGGTATAGCCATAATGAGGGTACACCCTTCAGGTCTGCATTCATTTTCCCTTTTTATTTTTTCGCTTAGAGGGGGTAATATAACCCCTACTATTATTGTTGTATTCATTCGATCTGATTCCATCAGGATTCGAACTCCCCATCTGGTTTATTGGCAGGACAGTCAAATGTGGGTATTCCATTGATCCGCACATGTTCAAACTTTGAACGGAGGTTTGATTTTTTTATTTTCACAGAATTCACCTAGACATAATCTCAGACCGTCATTCATTCACAGCTTGCAAGTTCCCACAGGGAGGAAGACGGGATCCTACGCGAGCTTGTGGGATCAGGACCACATCGGCATCGGTACCAACGGAACCAGACATGAACTGGAACACCCAGAACCAGAACTAGACCTAGAACAAAAGCAGCATGAACCACGACTCGCAGTACCAGAATCAGAACAACCAGAACCAGAACCAGAACCAGAACCAAAATAGCAACCAGAAACAGAAACAAGAACCAGAACCCAGTGCCATACGTAATCGCTGTGCTCTCAGACCAGAAACAGAAACAGCAATCAGAAGACAGAACCAGAAACACAAACACAAACACAAACCAAAACAGAAACAGAGACAGCAACCAGAACTCCCACGACCAGAACTGCAACTCGAAGGACCAGGATCAGAACACCCATAACCAGAACCAGAACCAGAACCAGAAACCAGTGCCATACCGTAATCGCTGCGCCCTCAGACCAGAAACACAAACAGCAACAGCAAACAGAACCAGAAACACAAACAGAAATAGAACCAGCAACCAGAAATAGAACCAGCAACCAGAAACAGAACCAAAACCAAAACCAGAAACAGAACCAGAAACAGAACCAGGAACAGAACCAAAACCAGAAACAGAACCAGAAACAGAACCAAAACCAGAAACAGAACAAGCAACCAGCAACCAGAACTCCCAGGATCAGAACCGGAACAGAACCGCAACCTGAATGTCCACAACAAGAATCAGAACCTGACCAGAACCTGACCGAAACCAGAACCAGAACCAAAACCAGAACCAGAACACAAGCAGCATGAACCAGAACTCCCGGGACCAAAGCCAGAACAGAACGAGAATCTGAATATGTCCAAAAGAAGACCCAGAACCTGAACCGAAACCAGAAAAAAACCTGATGCGTACGATGGCCAGAGCAAGAACCATAACCTGACGAGTACCAGGACCAGAAAAGAAGCCAAGAACAGGACCAGAACAAGAACCGGAACCTGACAAGCACCAGGATCCGAGCCACAGCCATCATGGTCCCCCTCACGTGCACTGAAAACAGTGAAGGCCAGGACCAAAACCAGGACCAGGACAGGACCAGCACCAGAGCCAGGACCAAAATCAGAGCCAGAAGCAAAACCAGGCCCAAAATCAGAACCAGCAGCAAAACCAGGACCAGAACCGCGACCAGGACCAGGACCACAAGCAGATCCAGCACCAGGCCAGGGCAGGACCAGAACTACGACCAGACAAGATAACCAGACCGAGAGCCGCAACAATCACGACCAGAATCAGGCATCATCGCACACACCACCAGCTGGACAGCAAGACTAGAACCAACGCCAGAACCAGAACCAACGCCAGAACCAGAACCAATGCCAGAACCAAGACCAGAACCAGAACCAGAACCAGAACCAGAATGACCATAACCAAGTCTAGCATCACCAGAAACCGTACCAGCATTCATCAGTTACCACAACGATGTGGGGACCACATTTTCCGTCATCCGCATGTTGCTTTACAAAGAAGATGCTAAATTTAACCGAAGCTGGATGTTTGACATGAAATTATTGAATCCTAAATTTTTAATTTTCGAAATAAGATTGACTTTACATTGCAATCAAAACGAAAACTCAGCGAATGATATAGCCCTCTTTCTTCTTTATTTAAACTCAAAAAATGACCCTGGTAGTCCATGCCATAAACGACGATCTGAGTCCTTAAGCTCTGAGAAAGGTTTTTGTTTCCACCCCGCCCCTCTCTCCCCCCAAAAAAACACAAAGCCCCTTCTATTCTGGGGGGGGTCAGTCCAGTTGCTTATTACCTGCAAGCATGTTCGTACAG